CCCACAGCCGGAGCAGACAATGGGCAGGAACACAGCCCAGCCCTGACCCGGCCACGGGTGGACACCCGGGCCGTCATGAGGGCAGGAGGCTGGGACGCGGGGGTTGGGCCCTGGAACATGCAAGGGCTGCGGGGCTCCTGGTGGAACCCAGACCAGCACCAACACGCACGAGACCCCCCAGCGTCTGCTTTAGGCGAGACCGCTGCCCCATGGAGGGAGGACCCTGAACACTGGTGGAGAGCCGGGTGAGGCCTGGGCTAAACGCCACGTGGACAATTGGAGAAATGCAAATCGAACCCCCAGCAGGTCAGAGGTTGGGAGTCTCTCCCTCAGGGGTGACTGCTCAGAGCCCGCACTGGGGGCGCCAGGCCGCAGTGCTTTGGGAGAAGAGAATGCTGTGCGCTGTTCACGATAGCCAAAGTCTGGAAACAACCCAAGTGCCCTAGAACAGATGAGTGGTTAAAGAAACTTTGGTACATCTACACAGTGGAATACTATGCAGCTGTCAGGAGAGAGGAAGTCAGGAACTTTGCTTATAAATGGATTGACATGGAGAGTATCATGCTAAGTGAAATGAGTCAGAACATGAGGCTGACACCTAAGGACAGTACATACATGGGACAGTTAGATTGCTCCATAGCTGGAAGCCTGTCTCATGAGTAAAGGGGAGAAGGCAGCTGAAATAGAGAAGGGCTCACTAAGAAAAAGGTGGCTGGAGGAACCGGTCGGGATGGGAGATGTGTGCAGAAAGTCGATAAAGGACCAAACACGATAACCTCTCAGGATCTGTGTTGCAAACCATAATGCCCCAAAGTAGAAAAAAGAGCACTACAGCTGTCTAAGGGCTCAGAGCCACCGGGGCTGGCAGGGAGGCCCCCACACGCCCAGGCCCTCAGGCGCTGGCCATGTCCTGTGCCCTGGAGATAGACTGGGAAAGGGCCCAGCCTTAGCGCCAAAACCAGCAGCATGGGCAGGGGTGGGACGAGACTCGCCTTCGGGCCCGGGTGGCGAGGCCGCTCCTGGCCAGGCGTTTATGGGCAGCTCAGCCGGGAGTGTGGGCACAAGCGCCCGGCCAGACTGGAGCAGCTCGGACCCAGTCCTGCCTCCCGGGCTGCTGAGCTGTGGTGAGTTGCCTTCTCCAACTGTTCGAGTGAGAAGGAGATTACTGGCGACTTCGAAACGAGCAGAGGAGGGAGCGGGTCCAGCTGGCTGTGGGTTTTACCAGAAAATGAGTCGAGACTCGGAGTCCGGGTGTCCGGTTGGGTTTGGCCACCTTCCAGCCCCGATCTTGGTGTGACTGTCTGGCAAACACATCAGGCTACAGATGATTCCGTTACGGAGCTTCCCTGAAAGAGGGCGCCTCCCTGTCCGTGACCCAGACCGTCTGGAGGCTTCTATCTGTCCACGTCCTGGCCCAAAGCCGTTGAGACAACAGGGAGGGACCCCACAAGCCTTGAGCGCTAGACCAGAGAGACACCCAAGTTCCTGAATTCCTGATGACTTTCTCCAGGAAGTGGGCAGCCTGGGCAGTCCTGCCCTTCAGGGCGTCCAGTGGGGGCAGCCCATAAGGTGGGCTTCCGGGCCCCTGCAGCCGCAGTGACTGTGGGGGCAGACGCAATCCCGGGATCCCTCGCACTGAACTATCCTGCTGGTCAGTGGGCAGTGGAAGCTGCAGGCTCAGTGGCCTGTGGCTCAGGGCACTGGACAGGGAGGGGGACCGGCCCCCACGAAGGTCCCTTCCTCCCTGCAGCAAATCACATTCAACCCAAAGGAGAGGTCAGGTGTTCCAGAAGCTTCCACTTACTTCTTGGCCCGGGGTCAATTTCTCTTGACACAGACCCAAACCCAGAGATAATGGAGCAGTTCTGTGATGGGAAGATGGATAACAGCTGGACAGCAGGCCCATGCAGGGAACAGCCAGCCCATCTGGGAACAGTCAGGCACCCAGGGCAGCTGGGCCGTCCAGGGACAACAGCCCATGCAGGGAACAGCTGACCCACACAGGGAACAGCCATCCATCCAGGGAACAGTCGGCCATCCAGGGAGCAACTGACCCATCCAGGGAACAGCCGGCCATCCAGGGAACTGTCGACCCTGCAGGGAACAGCCGCCCACCCAGGACAGGGCGTCCACTGAATAGGCCTTTCCAGGACAAGAAAGCCCAGTAAGCAATGCTTAGCCACGGTGGAGAAATTCGGAGCCTCCTGAGTGACCCGGGCTTCTCCAGGGCTCTGTGCCGCCTCCACGGCCAGGCTCTGTCCATTCTCCTTATATGGCCCCGAGAGCACTGCCAGGAGCACTTCAGCACCATGAGGGGACGATGAGGGAGAAAAGCACCAGGAGGATGGAGCCAAGGCCAGCTGGACTTCAGAACGGGAACATGGGCTTGGGAGCAGGCGTGGCGAGGAGGGCTCTGTGGGAGGGGACGAGGGCCCAGCCCTGGCGGGAACGTGCCTGGGGCCACGTGGAGACCACAGGGCCACCCAGGGGGCCACATCTGCCGGGATCCTGCCGCCCGAGAGGTAGCCAAGGGCGAAGCTGCCCCAAGTCCCCTGCTGTGCACAGCAGCTGGGCACACGCAAGGCGTGGACTCTGCTCCTTCCGGGCCCTGGCGGGGAAGGGCAGCTTCTGTCGGCCTTGAGCCAGGCTGCCTGCTGGCTGACCACCTGGCATGGGATCCTGGACGCTGCCCAATGGCTGAGTGACCCCTGCATGTGCCTGCGGCCCTGACCGGCCGTGTGACCCCCTCCGGCTCCTAGAAGCTGGGCGGCTCCAGGTGCTTTCTGGGGCACAGGCCCTGCAGGGGGAGGGCGTGGGGGCCCCGGGGGTCCCAGCCCCCTGTGGGAGCCAGCCCGGGAGAGGCTGGCTGAGTGTCCGCAGCGCCCGGTCCCCAACGCCACCCTGAGTCGGGAGGAAGGCACGGCAGGGGCCGGCAGGAGGGCGGGACTTGGCCACAGGCCTCCGGACGCTCAGGCTCTGCGGAACTGTTGGGAGGCGAAGGCCGCGGGGCGCCCTGGCTGCAGGAACGGGCAACGCCGGAGTTGGCCGCAACAGACGGTGCTCGGTGCTGCCAACTTGGCATGGCTGGTGGGTGTCCCTGGGTCACCCCGCCTCTGGGCAGGAGGCTCCCCAAGCAGTTACAGGGAAGGGCCTGGGGTGGGGGGTCTCTGAGAGGGGCTCAGAGCCATGCAGTCGCCGTCCGAGAGCTGCACGGTGCTCAAACGGCCAAGGGTGGGCCCCGCGCGGGACCCTCCGAACCCAGCGAGACCCCCAGACTCAGGCCGCTGCCCGATAAACAGATGGAGACGGGTCTGGGGAAAAGGGGTCTGGGGCGGGAATTTCCGTCTGGGTTCATGAGGTGGGGCGGGGGCAGCTCAGGGGGAGCAACTTCCGAGAGGGGTGAGGACCCCGGGACCGAGGCCAAGGTGTGAAGTACAGGTGAGGGCAGAGGTGTGGGGAATGTGAGAACAGGTGAGGGACAGGTGAGGGGTAGGTGAGGGGCAGGTGTGAGGACGCGCCATCTCTTTCCTTGGGGTAGGGGTGGGACGTACGGTGCTGGGCACTGAGAGGACCCGGCTGCTGTGCCCGCCGTACGCCTGCCCTGGCGGCCATGGCGCAGGAAGGCCACACGCGCAGCCCCGGGTCGGAGCAGGTCAGCGCCCACCTGTCTCGATGGGGCCACACAAGGGTCTCTGTGGGGACCCCACTGCAGGCCCCCAGGACACTTTCTCCCGTGGGAGAGGGGCCCCGACTGCCTCCCCCCACGCTCATGGCCACTGTCCCGGATGGCCGGCCCTGCTGTCCCCAGGTCTGGGCCGCGTGGGCGTCTCCCACTGGGGTGGGTCACTCAGCCTCAGGCCCCCACACCTCCCGAGCCTTGCGCGTGGCACTGTGTTTTCTTCGGGGGTGGGAGGGCACGCTCCAGGCTCTGGGTCCAGGGGAGACGCCAGGGTTCCGGGGACACTGCTGGCCACGTGCAGCGCAGTGCCTCGTCCAGGCTGGTCTCTGGCCTCTCAAACCCGGAACCGCGGACCCCGACAAGCTCCCACCTGACCTAAGGCCAGGGCGGGAGGCGGGGGCGAGGCCAGTGTGGAGGGGGGTGTCATCCTCCCACCCGCCCCCGCCACCTGCAGGGCACCGGGACACGGGCCGTCAGCAGCCGGGCTGCCTCTCCCACTGGCCTCTCGTCCTGCGACTTTCCCACTGTCCTGTGCTGGGGCGTCCCTCTGGCCAGCGTCTGGGCAGCATCAGTCGTCAGAGCCGCGCAGCGCCCCACTCCCCGGGCCAGAGGGTCTCTGCAGGGGGCTCTGTTCCTTTCAGTTTGGAGCTGGTCCGGTCAACCATCGCCTCGGGCTGCCACCCACCACCCCTCGGCCGGCTGCTATGGGCCTGATTCGGGTGACATCCCCTGAGGGGCACCTCAGGGCCCCCGGGTCTGTGTTGGACCCACACGGCAGTGCTGGGCGCTCGGTCCCTGCCGGCCCAGGAACGCAGCGGGCCCGAGGGGAGTGCGTGCCCAGACCCGCGGGGATGTCTCCCGTGGCCCTGCCCTGCCCGGGCGCCCCAGGAGCGTCTTCATGGACACGCCCTGCCCCTGGGTGTCCCCGAGCTCCGACAGGCCCCGAGTGACCGAGGGTGGGCATCCGCAGCAGCCAAGTGTCCAGAGACTTGCTCGGAGGAAGCCGGTGAAGAATTCCATTAAATATTTATTGAACAAACGCAGAGTGAATGGACCGGGTGTGACCTGAAGACGCGGCCGCCGCCGGGTGGGGCGAGGTGGCAGCAGGGCCCGGCTGCATGCTGGGGGGCCGGGGGAGCGCGGCATGCGCGGGCCCCGGGGCTGCAGGCCTCGGACCTGCGCGCGGCACGGCCACGTCGTGCGTCCCGCACCCGCAGGCTGCCCGGCCGAGACGGGGCGCGGGCCTCTTTGCCAACACGCCTGTGCCATGCGGACGCGGCGGCCCCAAACGGGAACGGTTTCAACAACGGTCAGCGGCACGTGGAGGACAAAATATAGATAATATATTTATATCATATACGCACTTCACCCCGCGCTCGCGCTCGGGAGGGCTCCCTCGGGCCAGTGCTCTGAAAATAAAACTCTCCATCTCTCGGGCGGGCGGGCGGTCAGTTCTCCAGGAAGGCCACGTAGTCGGTGAGCCGGGCCAGCTGCTGCTCGCTGGGGACGGGCGGGACCGGGGACGGCTCTGGGGACGGAGGGGCGGGAGGCGCGGCTCAGGTGGGCACGGGTGTCCCCACACCCAGGGCAGGGCTGCCGGCGCGGCCACACCAGCCCGTCTCGGGGCCCAGGGCCACCCACATCCCGAGGGCTGACGAGGCCAGAACCCGAAGACGCGAGGGCCACACGTACCTGACAAGGGGATGAACCGGCCAAAGGGCGCGTCCAGGGCACCTGCCACTGAGACAGTCAGAGACGGTCAGAGACAGAGACAGCATGATGGGGGTGGCCACAGGAGGCCAGACATGTCCCTCCTGGGCCCGCACAGACGTTCCCAGGTACCCACGGACCCTCACACGTACACACAGACCCTCCCAGGCACACACACGTGTCAGGCGTTCTGACGCCGTGACTTGCGCCCTGCGGACACCGGCTTGCTCCCCTCGGGGACTATGGAGAGGCCAGTGCCAGCCACGGAAGGGCGAGTCCAGGACCGTGTCCCCGGGGTGCTGGGGAGTGTGCAGAGTTCTGGGGGCTGTGCTGGGGCCCCCCAGGGCGGAAGCAGCCACGGCATGGCTGGGAGCTGCCTGAAGCAGGTGGAGGTAGGGGTGGGACTCTGTGTTCAGTGCTCAGGAGGGAAGCCCCGCCCCACCACTATCCACCCCCCACAGCCACTACAGGGGGGGGGGCGGCGGGTGCCAAGTTCCAGGGTGCAGGCGGCGCGGTGTTGGTGGTGCCAGCCGCCTACCGGGCTTCTTGGGCATGACCATCCTGGTGCTGGAGTCCGCCTGCCAGCCCTGCTCCAGGATCCCTGCAGGAAGGACGAGTGGTCAACAGCTGCCCGTCCCCGGGGCTCCCGGGGACAGCGGGCCGGGGGCTCACCTTTCACGGCCTCCTCCACAGGGAGCCCCACGAAGGCGGCGAAGTCGTCGGCGAGGATGGAGGTGTAGGCCTGCGAGGCCAGCGCGAAGGCGCGTCTCCGCGTGGCGTCTGCCGGGACAGCACAGGGTCACCCCGCCGCTCCAGCCCAGACCCACGGGGAGGCCGGCAGGGACCCCAGAGCTCTGGGCAATGCCCGCTGGCCATCCTGGGACCCACAGGGGCCCTGCCTCCCTGGGCCCATCACCCCCGCCACCTGTGCCGCTCTGTGGGGACGGGGACAGGCACACGTGGGATCAGAGCACAGGTGGCCGTGCCGTGACCCGTCTCAGGGACACGACATGGGAGCCCCCCAACCCTCAAGGCCAGGACGGGGCCGCCGGCAAACCCGTCTGCGAAACGCCGGGCTGGTGGTGCCACCACGCACACAGTGGACCCGGCTTGATTCCCAGCATGGCACAGGCCCCCGGGTTGCAGCAGGAGTGACCCTAAAGCCCCGAGCACTGCCAGGAACACCCCAATCCCCACCTTGCAGAAAGCAGAGCCACCCAGTGTAGACGCTAGTCTGTCCCGACCCCCAGTGTAGACGCGAGTGGGCCTGACACAGTCCCCAGCTGTCAGAGGGGCGGGGCGCAGGGAAGTGTCCCTCAGGGCGAGGCTGTGGGGCCACGGGCAGGCCTGGAGACTCGGGGGCCGATGGGAACTGCAAGGACGGGGCCTTGGTGGCCCTCGCGCCCAGAGCACCCTGGCCATCAGGCGCGAGAAGGCCCGGGCAGCCTCACAGACAACCCTGGAGGCCGGCGGGGGCTCTGCTCGGCCCAAACGCTGTGACCCCGCAGAGTTGAGGAGGCTCTGTGGGGCGCCCCCGGGTCCTCCAGGGTCTGAGGCAGCGCCCTGGGTCAGAGGGGCCGTACCAGAGCTGGACCCGACACTGTCCCCCGCCGTCACCACGTGGCCCAACCCCGAGGCCCCTGGGAGGCCCTGCCCTCAGCAGTCGGGAGCAGTGCTCGGGGGCTTAAGACCACCGAAACCAGCTTTGGAAAGCCCGAGACAGGGACAGAGGGGCACGCGGGCAGGCCCACACCCCGCCGCCCGCCCCCTCACCTCTGAGCGCGTCCATGATGGGCTGCACCGTCTCGGACCACTGGTGGGCGCCGATGGTCGTGTAGATGCCCGGGAAGTCCCGCTGCCAGATCCTCTGTCCCACCGACCAGATCCCGCCCAGCTCCGAGTTCGCCTGTGGGGGAAACCGCCGCCTGCCCGTGAGCGTGACGCGTCCTTGGCACCATCCCTGGGACGGTGTCCCGGACCCCGGAACCTCAGCGCGGGGTCGATGTACGGGCCTGGACACATCTGACCTGCGATAAACTCAGGCAGGAGAAAAGTCGTGGAAAATACCTCAGAAGCGAGTCTGGCAACGGCTGAAACGTTCTGAGTTTCCAGACTATGCAAACTGCAGCGCAGTTCACGTTGCGGCAGCCACACACGTGAACACACGTGGAGCGTGAAGACGGAAGAAGTCATGGCGAGGTACCCGACACCAGAGACAGGGAGGCCGGGACACGAGCCCCCCGCCAGGCCCTGCCGGGCTGAGGGGTGGAGACAGCCCAACCCCACTCAGCCCTGGAAGCAAAAACCCAGAGTGCTGACACCAGCGAGCACCAGCCGTGGCCAAACCTCCGCCCACGGTCCTGAGAGCGTGAGTGTCGCAGACGGAACGTCGCAGGAGCAGACACAGGCCCAGCAGAGGGGCGAGGCACGCGGGGAGTGAATTCCCTTCCCCCGCTTTGGAGGAGACCCTAGAGGTCATTCCGTCTCACCCTCCGCCTAGAATCAAGGACCTGGACTCCTCAGTGGCGGAACTGAGCCTCCCACCCCCGCATCCACTGGTGAAAAACAGCGGCTTCCCACGGGAGACCACGGAGGCATTTATCAGTAAAGCACGAAGAATCTTGCTCCCCACAGGCTCGGCGGCGGGGAAGGAGCACTCGTAAGAAGAGTCTCAGGAAATGGTTAGGGGGAGTGGGCCCAAGGGGAGTGACACGCTCCCCAACAGAGGAACCCGGAGCCCGATTCTTCAATCAGAGCGCCAGAACCAGCCCCGCAGCCCGCACAGGGCAAGGAGAGCCGCCAACGCCCCGCCCTCGCACTTACGGTCTTGATAGCAGGCGGGATTCTCTTCCAGAGGTATCTTGCATTATTCCTAACGTACGCCCCAAGAAAAACAGTCAGTCAGTAGCTGCTAACAAAATCTAAGACTTCATCACAAACACAGGTTCATGCTCTACGTATTTCCCATAACGAAAGGAAAGTTCAGTTTCACGGGACTTAGTCCAAAAGTATTTTTCCCAGGTAAGAAGATCTCAAACTTTTTTTTTTAAAGACAACCAAGTTTTTGTCCATTTTAAATGGGCACAGCAGGTAGGGCGTTCGCCTTGCACGCAGCCAACATGGCCGACCCGAGTTCGATTCCTCCGCCCCTCTCGGAGAGCCCGGCAAGCTACCGAGAGTATTCGATATGCCAGACACAGTAACAACAAAGTCTCCAATGGAGACGTTACTGGGCCCGCTCGAGCAAATCGACGATCAACGGGAGGGCCTTTACCTTTACCTTTAATGGGCCTTAAATAAAATAAATGACGTGGATCTTATATGAGGACTCGATGAATAATACAGATCTTAATTCAGCACACGCGAACAGCCCAGGCTTAAAAGCGTCCTCCCCAGCTCTGGTCCTCGGGCGTGAGGATCAGCACATCCACGGCGCATCCGGGGCCGAGAGTGACCTGGACTCAAACCCGAGCCCGACACGGGGTCCCCTAAGCGCCACCTGGGGCGATCCCCGGGAGCCCAGCTGGGTGTGGCTGAAAAGCCCCCCAAAACCACAAAGCAAGGGGGAAGGGCCCCAAAACGTGGAAACCGACTTTACAGCAAGGTCAGGGTCAGGGGCGATTCCTCCTTTGCCAGGGACCGACCACCCCGGGGCCACAACGGGCTCTGCAGCTGCCGGGCGGGGAGGGGGCGCCTCCGGGCCCCAGGAGCTTCGCCCCGTCCCCAGCGGCCCCGCCCGCGGCCACCCGGAGGTGGGCAGAGGGGAGGGGAGGCGGGAGGACCGAGCGGGCCCGCGAGCCACAGGACCCCCCAAGGGCGGACCCCCGGGACTCACATGTCGTTGTGCAGCAGGTACAGGGCGAGCAGCTGGCTGTACACGGGGGGCGTGGCGACCCCGCCGGGGGCCTGCGGGGACGGGCGGCAGGACGGGCGGTCAGGGGCGGCCGGGGACCCCCGCGACCCCCGCCCAGGCGGCGCGGGGCAGGAGGCGCAAGGTCGCCCGGGCCGGGTGCGGGGGTCGGGGCGCGGGTCCGGGCGGGGCTCGGGGGGTCTGGGCCGGGGTCGGGTCCAGCCCAAGGTTCGGGGTCGGGGCGCGGGTCCGGGCGGGGCTCGGGGGGTCTGGGCCGGGGTCGGGTCCAGCCCGAGGTTCGGGGTCGGGGTGCGGGTCGGGCCGGGCGCGGGGTTCGGGCCCGGGCCGCGGTCCGGGGTCGGGGTCCGGGCTCGGGGTCCGGGCTCGGGGTCCGGGCCGGGCCCCGTCCCGCCGCGCCCACCTCCAGCTCCTGGCTCTCGCACTGGTCCAGCAGCTTCCGGAAGCCGCCGGCGCCCTCCGCCATCACGGCCACTGGCATCTTCCCGGCCGCCGCGCCCAGCCGGACCCCGCACCGTCCCCCGCCGGGGCGTCGCGCCGCGATGACGCCACACGCGCCGGCGCGCGCCCCCCACGCGCCCGCGTCACTTCCGGCGCGGCGCTGGCGTCACGCGGCGGGGCGGGGCCGGGCGGGGCCGGGCCGGGCCGGGCGGGCGTCGCCGCTCTGGCCGGCGCTCTCGATGCTCTGGAGGACCCGCCGCGCCCGCCGGGCCCGCGCGGTTCGGGGTCGTCGCGGCTTTGAGGCCGGACCCAGCTTCTCGGCCGCCCCCCCGGGGGAGCCGGTCCCCGCGGCCGCCCCCAGCGCCACTGCCCGCACCCCGAGCCCACGCTGCAGCGTCCAGGGCCGGGTCCAGACCCGCGGCTGTGCCCAGCGCCCTGCCCTGCTGCACGGGTGGCCTGCGGGCCTGGGCGCTGACCCCGAGCCTGGACGCTGACCCCGGGCCTGGACACTGTGCCTGCGGCCTGGGCGCTGTCCCCGCAGCTTAGACCTTGACCCCTTGGCCTGGACACTGACTCCGTGGCCTGGAAACTGTGCCCCCAGCCTGGGCACTGACCCCGCGGCCAGTATGCTGACCCTGTGTCCTGGGCACTCTCTCCACAGTCTGGGCCCTGTCCCTGCAGCCTGGGCACTGACCCGGCGGTCTGGACACCGACCCCAGGCCTGGGCACTGACCTTGGGCCTGGACACTATCCCTCTGGCCTAGGCACTGACCCTGCAGCTAGAACACTGTCCCCCGCGGCCTGGACACTGTCCCCTCTGGCCTGGGCGTCGACCCTGGGCCTGGATTCTGACTTCGGGCCTGGACACTGTCACCCCGGCCTGGTCACTGTCCCCCCGGCCTGGGGGCCGACCCTGTGCCTGTACGCCGACCCCGGGCCTGGACGCTGACCATGGGCCTGGACACCGACCCCAGGCCTGGCACTGACCCTGCGGCCTGTACGCCGACCCCGGGCCTGGACCTGACCCCCTAGCCTGGGCACTGACCCCACGGCCTGGGCACTGACCCTGCGGCTTGGGCACTGACCTCATGGCCTGGGCACTGACCTAACGACCCGACTGTCCCCCTGACCTGGCCCTGTCCCTGCGGCCTGGGTACAGGACACCCCTGGGTGGGAAGCGCCCATTCACCCCAGAGCAAGGGTGTCCGTGCTCACCACTGTGTCTTTGCTTGCTCAAGAACAGCCCACGTTCTCTCTTGAACACGTCCTTCTCCTCTGCTGACACCTTTCTAAATAAAGTTTCAGTAAAAACGATCCTGCTTCACAAAATAAAAAAAAAAAAAAAAGGAGAGAGAGAAAAACTAAAAAATAGGAACCTCCGACCAGCCAAGGTCACAGAAGGCGATTTCCCTGTGTGGAGTCTCAGGTTCAACGTGGTTTTGATTCTGTCTTACAGTCGAAGCAGACTCCGACCCGTGCTTAGTTTTACTTGGGGCCACCGAGGCAGTGCTCAGGGCTCCTCCTGGCTCTGTGCTCTGGGGGCCACCTCGGCGCTGGGCATCGAGCCTGCGTCTCCTAACAGGGCCCGTCTGCAGTCTAAGCCGGCGCCCCCATCTCCGCTGGGCCGTCTCCCCCGCCCCACGTGACTCTGAGCACCGGGGGGCCTCCTTCAGAACCCCACTTCCTAGACGATGCGCCCCCCACATGGAGCCACGTGACTGAATGGAGGACTTGGGATAGATCTCAAGATTCCGCATCGAACAAAGTTTTCTGGTCAGGTAGCGCAGTGGTTACGGCGTTTGCTTTGGTGCCACCCACCCCGTTTTGATCCCTGGTACCACGGACCCCTGAGCACCACCAGGTTAGCCCTGGAGCCTGTCCGCTGCCGGGCAGACCTGGGTGACTCGAGACCTGGACTGCAGTGTCCTGGGGCTGAACATCGGACCACCTGCCCTGTTGGCTGAGATGTGCCGGCAGGTCCCTGGACCTCCTGGGCCCCGCTTGGAGCCCCCCATGTGCACTCCGTAGGGGTGTTTGGTGAGAGTTGGCTGTGCCTCTTGCTCATGTCCCTGGGCACCAGAAGCCCGGCTCTCTGCGTCTCTCCACCTTCTCCCCCGGTGCCCTTTGCCAACTTGATTTCTTCCCCTGGGCCATGCCGTGGCCCCATCATTCATCTGCTTTTTTTTTTCTTCTTGGGTCACACCCGACAATGCACGGGGGTTCCTCCTGGCTCTGCACTCAGGAGTCACTCCTGGCGTGCTCAGAGGACCATATGGGAGGCTGGGAATCGAACCCAGGTCGGCCGCGTGCAAGGCAAACGCCCTACCCGCTGTGCTATCACTCCAGCCCCCATTCATCTGCTTTGGAGAGACCCCCCAAAGCTCTTCAGAAGACCAGGCCAGGGATGTGGGTCTCGGAGGCTGGTCACCGAGTTGGGAAGAGGGTCTTGGGAGAGTTGGGGGGGGGGTGGAGCCTTGGGGACCAAAGCTGAGACCCTGGTGACCACGAAGATCCTGCCTGACATGGAGAATTAACATGGCCACAAAGACCCCCACAAGACCACGGAGACCCTGTCTGACCACGGACACCCGACTGGCCGTGAGTGACAAAGAAAAGGCATGGGGCCATGCGAGGGACTCGAGCGCTCGGTGGCTGAGAACCGTTCCCCTGGCTGGCCCAGGCAGTCGACAGACAAAGGACGGGGGAGCGAGAAACAGGGCCCGGGCCCCAGGCTGGCCGGTAGAAGTTTTTTTTTTCTCTCTCTTCCCCAGCGTAGTCTGATCTCTCCCCTTACGGCAAAATCATAGTCGTAGTTTTGGTCGTAGTCCCAGTCATCACAGTTCCTTCACCCTCATCTCCTCGTAGACCTCAAAGTCCGCTACTTCGTCGTCTCCTTCCTAGTCTCGTCGTGGTCTCTTAGCCCTCCACTGCCAGCCATCACCGTCGCCTAGTCCTCATCTAATCCCAGAGTCCTCATCTTTCTAGTCCTTGGCTTTTTTTTTAAGAAAGAAGATTGATTTTAGAGTGTAAACAAATCTAGAAATCAAAAATGATCACACCCATACAAATACTGAACATATAAAAGCATTGCTTCAAATAGCAATTGAAACACACAAATAAGAAAATTAATAGAAAGGCGTTCATATACCCATGTTCAATTTTCTTTTTTTAAAATTTTTATTAGTGAAACACCATGAGGTACAGTTGTAGACTAAAAATTTTTGTGCTTGGGTTTCAGTTATACCATGATCAAGTACCCATCCCTCCACCAGTGCCCATTTCCCACCACCACGGGTCCCAGCATCCCTCCCACCCCCCATCCCCCCATCCCACCCTGCCTCTGTGGCAGGGCATTCCCTTTTGTTCTCTCTCTCCTTTTGGGTTCTGTGGTTTGCGAGAGAGGCATTGAGTGGCAATCATGTTCGGTCCATAGTCTACTTTCAGCCTGCTTCTCCCGTCCTGGGAGGATCCTCCAGACACTCTTCATTTGGTGCTCCCTTCTCTATCTGAGCTGCCCTTTTCCCTAGAATGCCCAGCTGTAGTCCTTGACTTTCTAGTGCCCTCTTACCCTGACAGCATAGCTCTATAGAATTATGAAGGGTGGGGTTGAATATTGTCTTAACAACAAAGAGAGGCAAAGCCCCTCCTTCGGGAGATTAACTCAAGGACAAGATCTCATCTGAGGGTTCAGCAGCAGATTACTAGGGCGGGATTCTATCCCGGTGGATTGCTTTCTCCTTTCCTCAGCTAGTAATCCATTCAAACAATCATAGTGAATTCACTTCTTAGAATATTCCTAGTCATTATAATCTTTTTAGTCTTTATACTATATCTGTCACTGTCACTGTCCTCCCGTTGTTCATTGATTTTGCTCGAGCGGGCCCAGTAACATTGTGAGACTTGTTACTGTGCTTGGCATATCGAATACGCCACGGGGAGCTTGCCACGCTTTGCCATGCGGGCGAGATACTCTCGGTAGCTTGCTGGGCTCTCTGAGAGGGGTGAGAGGGGCGGAGGAATCGAACTCGGGTCTGCCAGGTCGACTGCTTGCAAGGCAAGTGCCCTACCCGCTGTGCTATCGCTCCAGCCCATAATATACCTAGTCTTATAATATTTCTAGTCCAACAGCCCGTCACTGCCCTGGAGGCTGAGAAACTCAGGGTTAAACACGAGGGCACAGACGCTCGGTCTAGCGACACATCAAAGAGCGACTTAGCCCAGGTCCCGGGGCCACAGTCCCTATGGTCACATGGGTTCTCTGTGGTCAGACAGGGTCTCCGTGGTCTGGCACAGTATCTGTGGTTGCGTGGGCTCTCCGTGGCCATGTGGGTTACCCGTGGTCTGGTGGGATCTCCGTGGCCACATGAATTCTCTGTGGTCAAGCTCCCAGGATATCGTGGCCGTGAGGGTTCTCCGTGGCCAGGTGGAGTTTCCATAACCACATGAGCTCTCCATGGTCAGGAGGGAACTCTATGACCACACGGGTTCTCCGTGGCTAGTTGTTGGATAACACTGGCTTGTCCTTGCTCTTCCGCAGGGAGCTGAGGTGTATTGAGTTACTCCCGAAACAGTGCCCCTGAGGCACACCCAGTTCCATCAGGCACTGATAATCCTGATTGCTTTTCTCTTTCCTTTATGTCCTTTGCGTGGGTATTTAGCAGTGTCCGTTTTGAATAGACACAGGAAGACAGTTCATGCTGCGCTTTGTGACACGGGAGTTAATTGACTCTGAATAATATTTACTCCTGGGCATCCATCATACTTACCTGCCTTAAGCCCCAGGCTTCGGGCCCTGGGCAGGGGTGGCTTGCTGGAGGGATGCGGGGAGCTTGGAGGTCAGAGGTTGTGGGTCGAGCTCGTTGCCCTCTGACCCAGTGTGCTAGCACCAGGCACCCTGCCCCCCCCCCCCCACACACACACATACACACGCCCTTCTCAGCGGAGAGGCAGAGAGCGGGGCTGGCTTCCCACCTGCCTCCCGGGGAGTCGTGGAGACGCCGTGAGGATGAGTGGGGACGACTTTAGAGGCTGCAGGACGGAAAACCAACGTGCAGAACCGCGCGTCTCCCCACAGCAGCAGAGAGCAAGCACGGGGAGGGCCGCAACAGCGCCCGCAGACCCCC